ATTCTGGTCACAATGCCACAATGGCCTCATTAGAAATTAAATAGTCATGACTCATAACTTGACCTATTTCTTCTTTTATTGTCTAATTTCTTGTCTGATACGCATTTCCACTTCTTTAAAATTGCTTAATAAAAGAAAGCTAATGGAATACATTCATTATTACCAAATTATACTAAAAAATTTATTTCAAAATCTCAAGAATCTAGTATAGGTGCTTTGCTTTTCTTTTTGTTGTTACTTACCTCTTGAGGGAGGCAAGATAACCAAAACTCACACTACATTGCTTTCTTTTTTACTAATAGGGCGATATCGTCAGCCTCAACCAACAATTGCAAAATCATAGAAGAGTAACTTCGCAGCTTGTGAGATTAATTGGGAACGAAGCTGCAACAAAAGAATACCTAGCCAAATGTTTGTATACTTTTGCAATTGGAAGTAACGATTACATCGACAGCTACTTACTGCCAGAATATTATCCTACAAGCCGCCTATGTACTCCAAGACAATTTGCTAGAATGTTGATTAAAGAATATTCTCAGCAACTAAGGGTTCGTATAATTATTTTCTTTTGACTAATTTCCATTTTCATTCATTAAATTTTGATGTTCATCTTGAATATACATTTAAAAAGAAAAAAGAAAAAACCTAACTCGTATCCCTTTTGGTGCTAGAAATTGTACAGATTGGGGGCAAGAAAAATAGCTATCTTTGGGCTAGGTTTCCTTGGTTGTGTGCCTGGTTTGTTATCTATAGATGGTACATGTGTGGATTCTTTAAATAGTGAAGTTCAGTTATTCAATGAGGAGCTCAAGCCACTGGTCGATGAACTGAATACCGAGTTAAGCAGTGCACATTTTATCTATGTAAATGTGACAGCAATCACTTTGAGCACTATGCCTGCAGGTACGTTAGAACTTCTACTTTATGGAAACCGAAAGTGTTTATTTAGACTCAACCTGCACAGATAATATAGGACGGTGATGAAGGCAAACCTGATGTTCATGCAATCGAAAAGAATATCAAGGTTTTGGTTACAAAATAAGCTTATTGAACTTAATTTTACAACATTTTTGTTATAAAGACTGAGGTAAAATGTGTGGATAATAATTTGTTTCTTTGAAAAAGATGCAAGTTGGTTATTATTTGGTTAGTTACCACATTTAACATTCTTGGGTTATTTTCTTTTGAAGTTTATGAAAATCATGATAATGCAATATCAAAATGAAGAGGCTCATAAACCAAAGAGTTTATCTCTTAATATAATATTTGTGTAGATGCCCTATACAATAGATTGCACAATTCTATGAAGGTGATTTAGAATGCGTTTGATAAAACTGAAATCTGAAAATTCAAATTTGAAATATAAAGTTTGAATTCATTAAGTTACTGAATTATTAAGCACTAAATCTAATATATTTGAGTATATACCATATTAAGTAGTAAGTGAATAACTCATCACTTATTTTTTCAAACAAATTTTGCCTAGAAAATTCAGTGTAACTTAATTAATTTAGATGTTCTATTTTTTATTATCAAACAAGTCCGAATATGTTAAAATCTGAAGTCATTAAATTTAAGTGCTGAATTGGGTTATCAAACAAGATCTAGTCATTTAACAATAAATTTATTAACTGTTTTAATCAATGAACAATACCCATACCCTTATTTACCAAAAGTTGTACCCTTCTATGAATTTTTTTTTTTGGGTTCTTATTTTTCATACTTTTCCTAATAAAATGATCTAAAGCGTCTAATACACTTTGAACAATTAGATTTGTTAGCTTTTAACCATTTGAACAGGAAATATTGGTTGCTACTATATGGAATGATAATTCATCAGTATATATACTTGCATAAACTCGAAGTCCAATGAAGCAAATTAACGTTTTAATGGAACGATTGACTTACAAACACTTCAGCTACTCAGCATTTCACACGTAAATATAAAAGCAAAATTATCCTAACTTGCCACTTGCCATTTTCTAATAATTGATGCTTCCATTTGAATGTGTAGTTGGATACATAATATAGACCAGACAATTGGAGGGTTCACTTAGGAAATTTCAGTTTATGTAGAAACAAAAACGAAAAGAAAAGAAAAAAAGAAAAAAGGTCATTGTACATCTTCTTCACGTCTACTTCCACGTTTTTCTTTGATACTGTGTTTTTTTTTTAATTTTTTCAATGCATTCTTACACTAAATCTATCTCAGAAATTACAATTGATAAATCACCATGCTGCAATGTGTCTACAACAGTTAGTGCTGGACAATGCATTCCTGGACAAATTCCCTGCAGCAACAGAAACCAATATTATTTCTGGGATGATTTCCATCCCAGTGAAATAGTGTATGAAGCATCTTCCAGATTGGCATACTCTGCATTATCCTCATTACTTAATGCTTATCCTTTTGGTATCGGTAGCCTAGCAGACACCGACTCTCGTGAGAAACTGGAGATACAATAGATTATGTTTGCAGTTGTGTATTCTTTTTCCCATTTTTTCCCCAACAAAGTGTGTTGTAAAACTCTGAAAGTCTGATGAATTACTATGATTTTATGGCCTCAATGTAAAAAAATCAGGCTAAATCCTCAAATATTGTCAATTGCTAAAAAATTCAACCAAATGCGTGTCTGCAGAAGTATAGTACCAAACTATGCCAAATTTTTTTTTTAAATGGCCTAGGAGCGACGGCCCCACAAATTTTTTTTTAAGAGCTGACAGGATTTTCCTTTTTTTGTTCTTAAGAAAAATTGTGTATAGAAATTTGTGAAATAAGAATTAGGGTTAGTAAAACCATTTTAGCAAACTAAGGGCAAAGATGTTATCCCCCACAACCCTTCGCGAGCAGGCTAAGGGCAAAGATAAAGGCAAGAAACACGCGAGGCATTGATATTTTTTTTTAACAATGTTTTAAACTTCATCCATCTTGGCATTTATTTATTTCGATTTTTATGTTTAATCTAGTCGCTTTACGATTGAACAACATTAAATATTTTCAAAATTGAGAAGTACACGGCATTTTATGAAACCTTACAATACCAGAAAATGGTACATTAATTTAATAGATAAAAAGGTATAACTAACTCTATGATCAATTTAATTCTTTTAATCATTAAATATGAGTATCGTATGTCAAATAATGACCTATAAAAGCACATTTACTATCTATGTGTTTTATACAAACATTCTTTATTTCTACGAAGATTAATTTTTTAACACAATGGCATTTTATATAAATTTCTAAATATAAAAAATTGCAATTCACGTAGTAATATTTCTACTTCTATACAATTACAGTTGATTTTGTAAACCCTAAACCCTAATTTGTAAATTGTAAACCCTAAACAGTAAACCCTAATGTGATACAGCTAAGTGTTAGAAGACTATATGAACAAAGTTAATATTAACAAACCGTCACTTTACTAATTTGTAAATCTTACAAATTATTTATAATATGTAAACCCTAAACATTTCTACATTTGGTAAAATGGTTTTACCGACCCTAATTCTTATTTTACAAATTTCTATACACAATTTTTCTGAAGAAAAACAAAAAGGGCGTTCATGACGAGACAGAAAAAGCATGGAAAATCCTGTAAGCTGTCGCGCCATGGTGGCATGACGGCTTGACAGGTCCCTTAAAAAAAAATTGTGGGGCCATTGCGTTATGTAGCTTTTTTTTTGTGAAAATTTGGAGCCCGTCACGCCATGTGGGGTCATTGCTTTTTCTTTTTTTTCTTTTTTTTGTCGACACAGGGGTATCCGGGTCAATCCTTACGGGGCCCGACTAATCCCCTGCGGCCCGGGAGAGGAGGCCCCACTCCACACCGAACACGTTAACAGCGGGACTCGAACCCTGGACAAGCCAGGAAGGTCGCCATACCCTAAGGAGGGGGAGCGGACCGCTCGAGCTATCCCGTGGGGGCAAAGACCAGCCACGTAGGGTGGCAAGTTGTAAGAGGCAGGAGTCATTGCATCATGTAGCTTTTTTTGGTGAAAATTTGGAGCCCGTCAGGCCAACATGGCGCGACAGGCATAGTTTGATACTATGCTTTTGCAGACTAGCATTTGGTTGATTTTTTTAAAAATTGACAATATTTTGAGGATTTAGCCAAAAAATCACAATTTGATGTAAACTATTTAATTATTATTAAAATTAAGTTAAGCCCAATATTTTGTTTTTTCCTTATAGTCAAGACATTATTTCATGAACAAATAAAAAATCAATTTACAAAATTACGAAAAAGAAAAACAATTTATACTTTGTCAATGAGTAACATTAGTTTTGCAATTAGCTAAGATTAATCTTTCTTGATTTATGTATGGGTTTTTCTAGTGATCAGTATCCAATGAGCACTTGTTAGTACACACAAATTACTTAATTTGTTATGTTGATACACACAATCACAATTATTGTGTCCTTGTTTTTATACATTTTTCCATGTTATTTGTACTTTTCTAAAAAATAAATACTTGAAACCCCTATTAATGAGTGAGTGGTGCACAACTTAGCCGAACAGTTTATATAATTTTTTTTTTGTCAATAACTATTTATATAATTAAGCCATGTAAAAGGTGCAATGTCTAGGGATACAATATTTATTGATATGAAGAAATTCCAATCATAAATACAAGATGAATTAATTCTGTATTAGCTTAATTCTGTGTCGCTAATCAGTAAAGAACATAAAATCTAACCGCAAGAATTCAAATTCCAGTCAATAATACAAGATAAAGATTTCCAATTAACTGATCATTGGAAAAAAAAAAACATATATGGCATCTAACAACTTCAAGAAACCTGTCATAGTTAGCATTAAGAAGCAGTACAATTAACCGAAAAACTAAACGATTACTATGATAAACACGGGCGCGTACTTTTGTGGACTGTTTTCCGACAAAGATTTGGGGAGGTTGCTTTTGTGAGGTTTATTGGGAGGATCATATGGCTGCATATGACGGAATTTTCTCTTGTCTGTGTACCTCAGCCTTGCCATTAAGGTGGAGTTCTCCTGGATGTCGTAATCCGCGAGTGTGCGATCTTCATCTAGTTGTTTGCCGGCAAATACGAGGCTCTGGTGCTGAGGAGGGATTCCATCTTTCGGCTGAAGCTTGGCCTTGACGACTTGGATGGTATCGGAAATTTCCACCTCGAAAACAATGGTCCTGCTGCTTTGGGATTTGACGAAGATCTGCATGCTTGCCCGGAATGGACTTAGAATGGTTAAGATAGTTTCGAGAAAGCGTGGACTGTGTTTAGCTGAGAAGCGTGAATTTTGGATTTGAATGATTAAGCGCGGGTTGATTAAGTGGTAGCATATAAAGCAGGTTATGCGGATTGAAATCCAAAGGGGAAAAGGATTAAGCAATGAAAATCCTTTTTGTGAATCATTCAGGACACACTACTTCACCTTAATCTGAAATTTTGGAAATTTCTATTGCCTTTCGGAAATCCTTTTTACCCTATAAAACCTTTAAAAAAAATTACCAAGGGACAGGTGAGATTTAAAAAGTAAAAATGGAGAAAGAGGATTTGAATCCAGAACTCTAATTCATGGGCCTTTCAATTTTACATACCACTTCACTTTAATCTGAACTTTTGGAAATTTCTATTGTCTTTTGGAAACCCCGTTTACCCTGTAAACTTATTCATTTGGTGATTCAAATATGTTAATCAATTGAACAGGGTAAAAGGGAATGCCATAAATAGAAAACATTGGAAATAAAAGAGTGTAATTATAGGAACAAAAATTATTAAGTCAAAAATTGAAAGTCCTAGAAGCTAGGCTGTGTTTGATTTTTGCTGTTACAACCCTATTACACCATGGATTGGGGCGTGACGTGCCTTTTAACTTAATATGTGTCACTCTATTACGTAGTGTAAACTGTAAAGAAGTATATTATTAAAAATGTGACAATGTTTGTGAACTCCCAAAATATTAATGCATACTTACTTTATGGAATGAAAAATGCAACATCTGATGAGTAATAAAGAATACATATATATATATAAGTATACACATACATCTGATTGGTGTAGAAAGCTACCATTTCGAATTTTCTGTGCACTTCTTTCTTGCTTTCTTTGTATTTCCTATGTTTACTTTACTAATCAATCCCTCCATCCCAAATATTTGTCATTTTTGGGCAACTCAACATTTTAACAATAATGACCTAATGGTGATACTTACACAGAGTTTTCAAACTTCACCCTCCACATTAAGAAATTTGAATGGTGTGTATTATCTTTCTAAAAAGGACAAGGAATAGGAGTGGCAAAAGAATAAAAATTATGTACTAATTTTTTGAAAACGACACCAATTTGGAAAACGCAATAATGAGAAAATTACGCTTTTAATGTGAGGCTAGGAGCTTGCCCACCAAAAAACAAAAATCGAGGCTAGGAGTTTCACGTAATTAGCAAGATTGTCAAGTGCTGTGAATTGGACCGGTTGGGGTTTATCCCCATAAAGATCTGGTTTTAGTGATTCTGTGTTTTATTGGTTTGACTGATCTCAAATTCGACCCACTAAAATTTTGACCTAGTTGGGTGATAGCCCAATTATGATACACAAATAAACAACCCAGCCCATCCAATTGCTACCCAAACTTTTATCGTCATGTTAGCTGTCATTAGGCAAATTTTCAAAAGATCCCAGTCCAAGTCAAAAAAAAAAAGAGATTCTATATAGGAATTCAATAGAAAATCAATCCTCAAAGCCTCCTCACTTGCATCTGATATTATCCCAAATTCTCAAATTTTTCATCCTGAGAACAGTATGATCTTTTGATAGATATGTAGAGAAATGGGTTTAGCTAATTTGCAATATGAAGCATGGAAGGATTTTCTTGATCTTTATTGAATCAACAAATATGGTTCAATTGGAACACTCCACAAATTAGTCCAAAATGCATAGATTTGTCTATATTAGAAGAAATGAAAACTGAATAAATATAGATGTTGCGAAGATTCAAAGAATGAGCATTTTTTTTATGTTACTACAATGCAAAATTTCCTCTTCCTAGCAGTCACGGCATTTTCACGTGATCCCTACCACTCAAAGTCAAAGGTGGAAAAGAAAAGAGAAATACGGGAAGACGAAAAGATGACGAGAGAGAGAGAGAGAGATAGTCATGGGGAAAATGAGAGAGGAAATGGGAGAAATGAGACTGTGAATCATTTAATCCAAGTAGTAATTCAATCATCTACGTGTGTCTAATTTCGTGATTTTACTCGAGTCTTGCAACTAGTTATTATTTTTTTTCTAGCTTGTACTTATCAGTGACGGTAATTAATGAGCTTAATCTTTCCCTGCACTTAATAGTTAATACTAAATTTTTTCTTTTTAAATTTTTTTAATATAAAATCTAAAGCAATCTGGTATCTGGAGGATTTGAGTTCATGTATTAGAAGATTCCCAGTTCACCTCTTCCAAACGTTGTATTATTATATCACGGTCCTATAATCAGTAATCACGTGTCCATGTCATTGTTTCTCCTTCGAAACTTTATGTTGCGTGTAATCTTTCACAAATCACAGTAACTTTAAAATTAAAAGTAGCTAGCCATCTTTTGGGAAAAAAAAAAAAAAAAAAAAAAGCTAGCCAAGAGTGAGAAGTTGTCATTCTGGGACCATTTAATCAGTTTATCAGTAAAAGACAATCAGTTGGCTGGTGGTCACTACCAAGCGTCATTATTTTTGGTATTGGTTTTGGTGGTTGTCATTATTTTTAGTGATTTTTTTAATGATGATTTAATTTTCATCGACTTTTTTTTTTAAAAAATTAGAATAAATTAAATTATTAAAAATATTATCATTACGATAAAAAAAAACCCACAAACAGGAAACATTTGAAAAAAAAAAAAAGCATAATTGTCAAAACAAAAATTTCTTTAGTCAAAAATTGAAAGTCCTTGAAGCTAGGCGTGTTTGACTTTTTATGTCACTTTCCCTATTACACCGTGGATTGGGTGGGACGCATCTTTGACTTAATATTGGTTATCAAAAGACAAATCATCATCTTCTGTCATATATTTATGTCTTGCACTCTTGTTATAGTGTAAATTTTGCTATATTTAACATACCTCTTTCTACTGGATCCTTCAATTAAATTTAATAGATTATAAAGTGATTACAAAAGGGTAGAGAGAACAAGGATAGAAAAATGTCTAACTAGAATTATCTTGGTGAAATCATCGTCACATGATATATCTTTTCTTCCAAAAAAGTACACAAAAATTGTAGATAGTTACCAAATATAACAAAAAAAAAAAAGAAAAGGAAAAAATTGTGAAGAATGCCAAAAGCAAGGTTCTATTTGGCACTCTGAATCTACGAGGGTTCTATGATCATTCTAGTTCTAGTAATCATTTCATAGGATTCATCATCTAAAATGGTTGCATGATGTATTAATTGAATGGATGAACTTTGTTCAGATCAAGTGTTTTCCACCGTAGTATATAACGAGCCTAAGAAAATAACTTGGCATCGATCGTAAGACTCTTTTCTCCTGGACTGCCTTACACTTCGTGTCATTCTGTGGCAACAAAGATGTCAAATCACATGAAATTTGATAAACAGATTTGGCCTCTCGAAATACACTTGTAAGTGTGTTTGCATTGTTACAACCGAAGCAGAATCGATTGTCAATCTCTGTTGTTGTTGTATGGTAATCTGTCCATATGGGGCCAAGTCAGACTTGAAGGTTGAAACTTAAAACACGGAGATATTAATGGTTATAATCATAACTTAAAGATTCATCCAAAATGGACTTTTTTTTTTCCTTTGTTGTCAACTTAATTATCCCTTAGATGGCTAGGCCTTTAATTATCTCTTAGATGGCTTTCCTCCGCAAGAGGCACAAAATTCCACCATTGTCGTGTTCACAAGAAGCATAAGATGACCGAGATCCACGTAAAGATTCGATTTGATGTAATTGCCCTTTGAAACTCTCACAATACGAAGAAAGATCGTTTGTCAATTCCTTGCCAGTTTTGGACTTCTATGGCATCTGAATTGTCAGAAAAAATGCACCTAGTTTTTGACTGACTGATTAATTTATGCATGTAAGTTAGAAGTAGAGTTACCAGCCTTCAAAAAATAGAGTGACACCTAAAAGGTATGAAAATAAAGCAAATGGATACATTTCTCAGCATACTCAATCTCAATTATTGACTTGGTGGTCCGTACTGTTTGCCAACTCATTTGGAAGCAAAAGGCATTTGGAATCTTGGGTTTTCCAAAAACAAAATTAAAAAAAAGTAATAATATAAATCTTTGACGTCTTCTAGATGGTAATTAATAACTCCAAGTCATTTATCCAAAAAAAAATTCATATATATTATTAATATTTTATTATTTATTAAAAAATATTATTTTATTTATTTTTTAAAAAAATAAAATAATTATTTTTATTTTTTTAAACTCGAATAAAAAGCCGAATTTAAGCTTAGTCAAGTTCAACTTAATTAGATCAAAATTCGACGCACTCGTTTGCAATACAGTACTTTGCACTCCAAGTCCCAATTGTTGATTAAAAAATTCTCCAGCACATGGGATGGGCAGTGGGCACATGATTAGGCAAAGGGCGGAACCTACTGTACTTGGGGGTATTATAAAGCAGCAATCCTCCGAGTTGTCGACGCATGGAACAACAATAATTTCTCCTAAAGAAGGACTAGCTTCTTGAGATAAAAAAATTATCTCAAAGAGCGATGGCACAACCACCTCCCAATATCACCAAAAAGTTGGAAGGCAAAGTTGCCATCATAACAGGTGGTGCCCGTGGCATAGGCGAGGCAACTGCTCGACTTTTTGCCAACCATGGTGCCAGAGTTGTGATCGCTGACATCCAAGATGAAGAGGGCCAAACCGTGGCCGAATCAATTGGCTCAGAAACCTGCAGCTATGTCCATTGCGATGTAGCTGATGAAGAGCAGGTCAAGAAACTGGTCGATTCAACCATCCATACCTATGGCCAACTAGATATCATGTTCAGCAACGCAGGAGTATTTAGCAAGTCAAAACAATTGGTGATAGATCTTGACTTTGCAGGACTTGATCGAATCATGGCCATCAACGTACGAGGCACGGCGGCATGTGTAAAACACGCAGCGAAAGCGATGGTGGAAAGGGGAGTAAAGGGTAGCATAGTGTGCACGGCGAGTTTAGCAGCCACCACGGGTGGAGAGAGTTGGA